ACGCACTGACTGCATGTTGATTGTGGCAGAAACATCCTCCATGTTCTCAAGTCCTACAACATACAGTGGATCTACTTAAGGGTCTTAAGTGTGGCTACACACACAAAATTGACAGTACATCTGCAAAGAAGCATTCTGATAGAGATAGGTTTCTTGGGTTTCTTCTTTTTTTTTTCCCTTTTTTTTTTTTTTAAAGCCATGTGACTGGGGTTGGTTGGTTCTGTTTTGGTTTTCCCGGTGGGTTTTGTTTGGCTTTGACAAAGTTAAAATGCACTAACCTTTTTGAGGGTTTGTTTTTTTAATCTGTCAGTGCAGCTCCGTCTCAGGCGAGTTGTAATGGTTCTGAACTTTTCTGCTTGAGCCTTGGGAAGTGAAACTCTGCTTGATCAGTGCCCAGTGATTGATTTGTGCAGTTTTCATAATCCAGGTCGTTTTATTTGTTAATGAGCTAAACACATTGCAAAAAGGTAGTGCATTTTAAAGTTGACCTTCGTATGCTTTTAAAAGCAAGTCTACTTGATAATGTACTTTTTACTTGATCTCAAGTTGTATAAACTAATAAATTTGTGTTTCCTGTCACTGCAGTAGTAATCTTATGCACACAGTGATTCCATGTTATATGCAAAGTAGTTAGGCAAGCTGTTTTCTTAGTTACAGAAGTTCAAGAGCTTTTACTTTTGTGCAGGTGAAAAGACAAAAGTAGGCTACAGTCTGTGCCATGTTGATGTACAGTTTCTGAAATTGTTTTACAAAACTTTGATAATAAAACCCTTAAACTTATACTCATGTTCCTACAAAACTCTGCTGGTATTTATTTACACCACAGAATGTATGAAGCTTTACCTCATTCATTTCGAGTGTACATTTTTCTTCATCTACCTATTTTAAAAAGACTGTAACAACTCCATCTCTTCGGAACCTGTAAGTGCGGTGACAAAGCTGGCAAGCCTGCCCTTTTAGCTCCAGTGAAGTACATTACACTAAAGAAAGAATTATTTTGCTTTTTGGGGGAATGAAGGGAATGGGCTTAAATGGGGAACTAGAGGTATTACGGGCCAAGTACTTTTTAAAAGAAATACATGTTTGTAAAAAATTTTCTGTATTTTCATTGGAACACAAACATTCGCCTCTTCAGGATGGTAATGGAAGAGTCGCAGAAATGGGAAGCAGTGAGTGTTGCGCAAATAAAGTAGGCTGTTAATGTCAACTAAAAACTTACTGGTTTAAATTAGTAAGTTTTGGTATGAAACTGTAAGTGGTGCTTGAACTTCTTGAATCTGATGAGTCAAACCACCTTCTTTTTTAAACTCTCCTTTTGCCCCAGGCAAAGTGGAACTTGCCGTTTAGATATGCAGTGTCACTTTTAGAATTTGTAGAAATGTAAATTTTTACCAACTGTTTTGAGTATTTTGTCAATACAGAGAGGTCTATGTCATACAACCGGTTCTAGGCTTTTATTTCTAGTGGAGAGAGAGTGATAGTTCTTGTAATAAAATAAAAATGGACACAGACAAGGTGCATGATGTCTTCATAGATGTGCCTTTTTTGTTGTCATCAAGATATTTATATGTGAAGTACAAGAACATAAACCGATTTATAGTAATAAAGTAAACCTCCTTGATCCTTAGACCTTGTGGTTGTGAAAGTCATTCCCATGCTCTAACGACGGACCCAAGAGGGCAGATCAAGGGCTACATTGATGTTTCTAGTTTCTTTTACTAACAAACCAAGCCCGTGTTGTGTATTGGCTGCGTACCTCCGGCTGCCCAAACACAAACTGGAGAAAGGTGCGTGTGGTTTTAGACCGCATTTGCTAATTCTGCACATAACCTTACATCGCGTTGGTTTGCTGTGGGCTGAGCCTGCAGAGCCAGAGCAGCCGGTGACCCTTTGGCGTTGCCGTTGGCAGTGTTAGGGACGAGCCGCTGCGCTCCTGCACGGCCTGAACCCGTACCAGAGCAACCTCGCCCAGGTGCCAGGTCACAGTTACAGCACTGAGCCAGAAGAACAACTAACTACTTTATTTTAGTGATTTGAAGTTGTTGTGCTGATTATTGTGGAGCAGAGGCTCACCTGCCTCCTGGGGTGAGGCCTTCCAAGGCATGTGACGCCCCTGCACTGCTGAAGGAGTTCAATCCTGATTTAGCAGCAGCTGCTCCTGGCCTCTGGCCGCCGTAACCCTGCCTGTAACTGCCGGGGTAACCCGCAGGAGTTTTCCCGCGTCAGATTGTACAGAGCAGCAGACAGCGATGGCTGTGGGGTTGGCTGGGTCACCGACAAAAGATGCACTGAAGCACGGTAATTGAGTAAAACTCACTAATTGTGTACTGAAAGGCGAGGGAAAGGGTTCCTTGCTTTTCTCCAGTGGCAACCAGAGAGAGGTTTGGTCTAAAAATAGTTGCCTGAAGTTGTTGGAGAGCACCAGCGAGGAACCACAGGTGAATCCTCCTCTTTTGGGGACTGCAGGGGTTAAAGCCCGTGCTATAGTCAATGTCTCAGTAGCTACTGGGTTCTTAAAACCCAAACCCAAAACATTTTAAATAGGATTAATTTTTGCTTATGCATCAGCCTTGCATTTGCTATTGTCAGATTTCAACTTCCCCTCTGGTCCCCTCTAGTCCGGCTCTTCCCTCGGCACCTCAGCATCACAGCGGCCAGAAGCGCAAGGAACAGTTGGCTTTTCCGCTAAAACGGAACTGCAAATGGCAGCAGGGATGATGTGCCAACTGTCAGCCCACAGCTCCTTCTGCAGTATTTCGTTTGGAGTGAATGCGCACGCCACGCAGTAAATGAGAACAAAGTACCACAACCCAGGTGGAAAAAGTGACGTCCTACCGTTGACACCGGGGAATTCGATTTCTCTAGTCGGGAAAGAAGAACGCCTCGCTCAGTCGTGCCTTCACCGTCATCACTCTGGGAAGCCCCCAGGAGGTCGTGTCCTACGCGCTTTAAAAGGTAAGTACTTCATCTCAGCAAAAGCCAGGCTTGTCGCTGCCCCCAGTATTTCCCGGGGCGTGGCAGCAACGTAAAGGTGACAACTGCAGAGTTTACTGAAATCTTTCTTTTTAACCGGTAATGTTTTAAGCACTTTCTGTAACTCCAGATCCGAGTTCTCCTTATCCTTTACAACTAAGAGATTTTCAAAGTTAGGAAATCCTTAACTAGAGGGATGTCCCCATCTCTGCTCTGAAAGCTCAACTTTTGATGCTCGGAGGGCAAACCAGCACGTCTCAGTCAAAAAAAAGAAAACCCTAAAAAAGCCGCCTACAAGGCAAAAAATGAAACTTTGGAAGTTCCAGGTTTTGCTCTCCAAGTCACCCA